AAAGTAAGTAATTTCTCCCCATCTTCCTTTACACACTGCTGTATTTTCCAAGCTTTTATACGCCTCTGTTTCCCTGTGGATCATATTTAAACATTTCTTATTTGTCTGAAAAGTACTTTTACAGAATTGACCACTACCGAATATAGCACGTCTTAGTCACTTTGTAAGTTCCATGCTCAACATTATGTAACGCTATTTTAAGACCATTTCTAGGGATGAATTCATACCCTCTTGCTTTCATTTGTACCCACAGCCTGAGGGAGCATCTCATAAATTCATATTGAAGAATTCTTTAGAAGATTGGATTGGTGAAATTTGATGTTATCAATGGTAAAATCTGATAACCTAAAATGATTTATATTCCTTTCAGAATACAGAAAATACAGAAAACTTACGTATTTTAAAATTATCTATGCATAGATAATGCATAGATAATTCTATCTATGCACTATTCTACTTTACAGGAATTTAACACTTTCAGTGATAGATGGAGGGAGGGAAAGTTATTTTTGACAGGAATGAAATGTTGTTTGTGAGCATGGAGCCTGCTCCTACCTGTGTTCTAAGTGTGGGTGTTTAACTAAGAGTCATGGGTAAGAGAAAGTTCAAAGACGGGAAATCTGTTGTTCCTGAGTTTCACTGAAAAGCTGAAACATGGCTGTAAACGCCTCCAGCAGTAAAGGCTGATGGAGAGAGGGCAGCTTTGTCAGAGTGTGTAATGATCTATAATGACAGAGTGGACTGAAGCAGATGCTATGTTGGATCCATCTAAATGTAGGAAGACAGAGTAGTATGCCTTTGAGAATACAGACTGAAAACTCTGAAAGTGTGGACCATATCTAGCATATAGTTGGCTCTCATAACCTTCTGACCTTCACTCAAGGCCTGGATTTTCAAAGGACTCAAAGGCCGGGTGTGGTGGCACACACCTGTAATCCCAGCACTTAGGAGGCTGAGGCAGGAGGATTGTTGTGAGTTCAAGACCAGCCTGGGCTACAAATTGAGCTCAAGGCCAACCTGAAGTGCATAGTGAAACCCTGCCTCAAAAAGGCCAAAAAAACAAAGCAAAACAAAGGACTCAAATCTGTGTATATTCATAAGATGAACCACACAAAGCCCATCTCTTATTTTTTGGCAGGTGTGTTAATGAACAAATCATTTCTCCCTGAAAAAGGAAGTATAACTAAAATGGAATTTTATACATATAAATATACAGCATAATAAAAATTGCAATTTCTGATAGGAAATCTGGAGTGCTTCAGTAAGTGAAAAATAAGGCTTGAATAACACAAAGTTGGAGACAATAAGATTTGTGTTTATGCCTTTATTCTTGTCTGTCCCTCCAGACATTATTGCACCCAATATTGCTCTCTGTGGCATAGATTTTCGCTGTCCTTCACTGCAGCCTTTGAGTATAAATCTCTCTGATCCTCACACTCCACGTCTTCTGACAGAATAAATGGTCAAGGGAGGAGTTTTAGGTCTGTGTCAAACGCTAAGTACGACAGACACGATAATAAGCTCTGAGAGTAAAGCATCCGTGGAGCTTCAGATATTCAATGCAAATTTCTGGAGATCTTCTGTGCAACATTTATCCCACAGTTAGCAATAGTGAGTCATACATTTCATAGTCTGAGACAGCAGAACTCATGGTTACAGGAAAGAGAGAGAAGGAGCAATAGTGGGTCTAATGGAAAGAAATATTTAGGGAAGCGTGACAAGAACAGAGAGGAAAAGTAGGGACAACAGTATGCGTGGAAATTTAGAAGTAAATGCGGGACTAGAAGAGGGAAAGAGAGAGACGTGTGGAGGACACGTGAGCGGGTGTTTTGGAGGGAGGACAGAAGGAATTATGAAGGGCCCCCTATTATCAGGGATAATAACAAGCAGTGGATCGGATTAAGTAAACATAGTATTTCTGAGTTAACTCATGCCTGCAACAAATATTTCCTGAGCGATGTCTACGAGCAGGTCCTATGAAACACGCAGTGTACCGTGGAGGAATAGTCACAGCTCCTGTTGCCAGGAGGCTTAAGACCTTCACACTGTGCCTTCTGTTCTCTTTGTTCCCCTGTGGTCATTCTCCTCTTTCCCCCACTTCTATTGCCCAAGCCTGTGACCACTGGGTTGTAAACTGACTCCTGGATGATTCCTGTTTGGCTTCATGGGAGGGACCAGAGAAGAACAGAAAGTATAAAAATGGAAGAGCTCAGGGTTTGAATTTCCTAACCCTCGCCTACTGAGTGACCTCTGGCCTCCTATGTACCTCCAGCCTTCCCCTTTCTAGTATCATTACATCTCTGCTCCCTTGGTCACTCAGGGTAACAGTGTTAATGAGTTCTTGGTGCTCCTCATCCACAAATACCTCAGGTCCTCTTCTTGGTCCTCTAAAACCTGCTCATATATTTTTTTAAAAAAGGAATGTAAAACTATTTGACCATTTACTAAACTCTATTGAGCCATGTGAGTTGGATTCCAGCTAGGTGCATGACTGACAGAGATAAATATTAAAGTATTGACACCTGTGTAAATTTAAAATTACACTAGGAGATGTGACAGCACACACACACACACACACACACACACACACACACACACACACACAAGTATCTGGGGAGCGAACAATGGATGTGTGTTAGATAAACCAGTCATGGCTGGCTCCCGTAGGAGGTGATGCTACAGTGGAGGACATAGCATTAGTGTGAGCCCCCTTGGTAAGAAGGAAAGTTTTCCCATAGAGGAAACAGCACATTCAAAGATCGTGAGATGCAAAAAAGCTAGACACGCTCAGTTCCAGAACTGGATCATAGGACTCTATGAGAGACATCTGTTAAAATGCTCCATGAGTACACGCTAGAGACAGAGTTGGCCTGCTGTGTTACGATCCTGACTGATACTCAGTGACAGATACTGAAGTTCCGGGAACAAAGGCCCACAAGACAACCATGTGACTGTAAGATGGAAACAGCTCCGACGAGCTGTGAGAACTAAGCAGCTGCTCAGACATTAATTTCAAGTTGCTGGATCATGTGGGGACCCAGCGCTAACCCACTGCACGTGATAACATGCTGAGAGGAATTAGCACATGTCAGGATGCTAGCTGCTTGATCATGTTTATGTCACAACACTAAAGGTTCATCTTCTGTAGTGGTAGGTTTCTTTATTATTTTTTTTCTTCCAAGAGTTGTGACGCTTTGTTAAAAAATCAAATGAAAGAACTTTACTGAGGTGGTTTGTGTTTTTATCCTCCCTTTTACTTATTTATTTTGGGGAAGGGAGGGGTAACAAAGGAGTGCAGAAGTTGAAGAAAATAAAGTACTAAAATATATAAATGATGGAACTGCTGGCTCCGATCTAGACAGAAAGGGCTTTAAGCATCAATTTACTAAACATATTTCAAGGCTTCTAGACGCAACCACATCTAACATATTAAATAAGCCCGCCTGAGGAAACATGCTTTATTGTTTCTTTCCTATATAAATCTATTTTTGTAATTTGTTTTACAATATGACCTCCCTTTATTTGTGGCTATAGTACAAATTCTGGCATTAAAGAATTATTTAACTGGAGGATATACTAAAAAACCTTTGGCATCAACTTAGAATATATTATTTTTGCATTTATCAAAATTAAGCATTTTACTTAGACATTTTCAGGAATACTTGAAGCTGTGACATTGACAAATGCTAAAAAAAAAAAACCTTTCAAGGCATTACGCAACCTTATGCACTACACTAATATCTTTTTAAATTTTAATTCATTAGTACACGTGTGGTGCATAATGTTTACATTCCTGGAGGAATTTTAGTACAGGTGCATAACAATTTAATTCCTCTTTTCACTCCCTAATACCTTCAGATTTGGAAAGCTTCCTCAGATATCTCCCCCAATATACATTAGGTGAATTTGATTTCCTACAATATATTTCTACTTACGGGCATCATTTTCTTAAAAGATAGGTTACACAACAATTTATTTTCATTTTTGTCTATCATTATCTTGCTTCTACTCAGATTCGAGTACACCTAGTAGACAAGTTGTTTTCAACCTTCCTGAAATTAAAATACATGGAATTTTCAGTTTATTCCTAAATCCCCAATTACTGAGTTCCTCATACTTACTAACACTGTTCTCTCTTCTAGGGTAACCCTACTATTACAAGCACATTTATGTAGCATGGTTTATCTCTAAGTACTGTATAGTTATGCTGTGGCAGTTAGCTCAACACTGCTGAAGTTAAATGATTAGTTACTCTGATAGAGATGCATTTATGCAAATTATAATTACAGAGTTTAGAAAGGACCCTGAGGTCTTATCATCCAAAAAAACCCCACTCTGTTTAAAATAAATCTTAATACTCTAATCAAATATGATCAAAACACCACTTCTGGCTCTGATTCCAATACGCTAATTGTAAACATCATAGAAAGTGTCTCAGAAATAGAATCGCAGAGAACGACAGGCATTAGAGTGCGATGTAAATCATCTCTCTGATTTAGGAATGATTACACGTTGTATACGTCAACAGCTCAGGATGTCAAGTTCAGGAGACTTTGAAATAATCAGTTTGTTCACTATAACTACTACCCTTATAATTGTTCTTACTCTTTTCTTATACCTTTTCAGAATCTACATCATGTGCATGAGAATAGATATTATGTTGGCCTTTTATTTTCTATTTATTTACATTATTGCTAGATAAAAATTTTAAAAAGATACAAAAATTTTAAGTAAAGTAGTTATAGAAATGTAAAATTTAAATTTAGTGAGGTTTTCTTCATGTTAAAGCAACAAAATTACATACATCACTGTCCATAGAAATGATTAGGAAAATGATTACAATTGGTTATTTTGTCAATTACCATTTGCCCTTCTTTTTAAAAAATGTGTAGTCACCTTGAAGCTTCTGGGAAAATAAGATCTAGCAAAATAAGTGATCCAAAAACTGTGTCGCGTTTTCATAAACAGTTGTGTCTAATTATGGAGGTGTGTGCACTTACTTGCCCAGCGCAAAGCACTCCATCTTCACCGTTGTTCCCTTCGCAGCTGTAACCGTGATAGGAAAATGGACCTCGATCTTAGGCTCGTATTCTCCCATCACACCTGGGAAATAAAGAATGGACTTTAAGCATAAAGTGCATCTTACAATTTATTTCCAGGACTGGAGGTGTCACATGAAAAAAATCACTGTGGCTTGCCTGTTAATGCATGTTTAATGACTGCTAAAGTTTTGATGCATTGAAATAAAAAAGTATACTTATGCTCAATTATTAAGATGAAAACTTAGTCTACCCTTAGGAATTGGGCTGCATGTCTGCGCAACACCACGTAAAGTCATAATTATTGAAAGTGTTAACCAACATGGACAGTTTAGTTACTGATTATTCTCCCGAGTAAACAAGGACCTATGCACACGTCCTCTGGTCAATAATTGTGTTTTTCTTTAAGTTAAAAGTACATCAGAACTTTCTTTATCACTAATGGATAAGTTTATATTTCACTATTCAGTCAACATATGTTGATTGATTTTCTATAGTTCATAAGGAATTCCACTAAGCATTGTGGAAGTTACAAAGATTAATCAGCCACGGATTGTGTCCTCAAATAAAGACATTCTTGAAGAGAAAATTGTCATATACTCAAGTATGGAAGCACAGCTTGCTACCAAACTGCTGTGGCGCAAGATAGGAAGTCCTGGGTGTTATGAGTGAGGTGTCTCTAGACTGTTATGTGTATAGAAGGGCTCAGAAACATAATTAGAATTTGGCTAAAGACAGCCAAAGACAGGAAACAAAGCATACTCGCTGTAGGAACAAAGCCAAAGAGATGGGAAAGCACAAACACGTCAATTTTTCTGCTACTGTAAGTTGAAACGTGAAGGGAAGTATATGAGGTAAGTTTGAAGATACAACGTCCAAATAGTTGATAGATTTGAATTTTCAGAGTAAATATTCAGACTTAAAACTGTACCTAACTTGGAGTTATTATGGTTTTGATTGAGGAAGTAACAATACACAGAGGTGTATATATTAGAATTGGAATGGTCTATTATGTATTCTAGTATTTCAGGATAAAGGCAATAAAATCCTGAGTTATTGTAAAAACAGAAAATATGGGAAAAGACCAAGAAAGAACTGAACTGGTAAACTCGGTAAACTGTGTGATAGAGGACAAGGCTGTGACAGTACCACAATGACAGCAAAGTCTCCAGCTTGAGGGATTTGGTGACATCAGTTAAAAAAGTGAAAGATAGTAGTCAGTGGAGTAGTTGTTGATTTTCAACCGAAGAGCAGTAACTGTGCAATACTTCTACATACTCAGGAGTGAACGCTGGACGTACAGTGTAAATGAGAGAATGAAGCTAGGCTTGGGCTCATGTAGTTGATAGACACGTTCTCACCATTCTGAGAGGGCAGTTAAAGTCGTGGAGTTCGTAGAGCTTTTACTTACTGAAAGACAGTGTACTAGGAGAGGGCTGTGGACTCCACTAGTTTCCTCTCAGGGAGCCTGAGGGCCTGATTTTCTCCTAAAAATAGTCAACAACGATCGGTCACAGATTTCTGTGAGAAGACTGCATTTGCGGTTGAGGACGTCTGCTTTTCTGGCATATGTGTGTGCACTGGATTGTGTGGATGTGGAGCATGGAGAGCGATTCTTCTGCGTACATTCGGTACATGGGAGAAAAGAAGAGGAACCCAAACGGGGTAAGAGATCCTAGAGGTGGTGGGTAAGAACCCTCGAAGGGAGACAGGGCTAGCGCTGGCACGGAAAACCTTTTAGAGTTTATCATGTGCATTTGAAATAAAACTTGAGGGAAAAATGTGGACAACGTTGGAGGAAAGTGTTTAAGTTCATTTAACAAGATTGTCTTTGCTTTCTGTGCTTTTCTTTTTACAAAACAGTTACAGTAGAGAAATATTCAAGTTTTCATCACCAGGATTGGACTTCTGGACCTGGCTCTGAGATGCAGACTGTACTGTCCCTAATAGTTTAGTTACTTCTGGGTTTCCTTTTTCCACCTGTAAGCTGGGAGGGTGGAAGGGAATCACCCTTACTATCATACCCTGCCCCAACTGTCTACTGTTGGTTGCACTTCGAGAATCTAACAGCAAATGAATTGTGTGGTTAATACGATTATGTCACTCAAATTGGATGTGTAAGTTCTCTTTCTCAATATTCTTCTCTCTAGTCTCGCTCTCTGTCCCTCCTGTACTTCCACCTTTCTCCTCTTATGTCCTCCTTACATGCTTTCTGTTCCAATGTCTCCTTAACAACTTGAATAGCAGGACTTGGTCTTCCATTGATACTACAAACTCAGATGAGTGTATCCCGTGATACGCTGTTTCTTTTTAATGAAGTTATCTATGAGACCTTACATGAGGAATCATAGACATCCCTTTCAACAGGTACCTTTGTTTAATTAAGCCATTTAAAGTTAGTTTCTGATCTTCCTGTTGTTAAAGTTGATTCCATAGTCTTCTTGGTTCTAGAAATAACTATTTTCAGTAACAGCTGATTTATCCTAATGATTTTGAGTCTGACCGCCTTTCCCTCCTAGGACTCTGTGAGTGCTGGGCATTACTGAGCAGGCTGCAGTGTTACAGAAACACAGGAGTAATCAGTTCTAATTTATATGGTATTTCTGTGTAATTATTTCCAGTAAATTTTTCAAAGAGATTTCAAAAGAAAAGGATGTGAATCTCCAAAGCTACTTCATGTTGATGTCCCTTTCCAACCTAAATATTCTCCTTAGAAAACACTTTTATATTAACACATTTGCACTCATTCTATTAAAGAAGCAACTGAAATAAACCTATATATTAAAACTAAATGAAGACATATGAATAATAGGTAATTTGAGCTGGACTACAAGAAATTATAACTGGTTCTTTTTAATCTTACCAAGACCAGTGATGTACATATAAGGGCAAATGAAAAAGCTCTCCCGATATGCCTTGCTGTGTAACAACTGATCACATTCAAAAATTGTTTTGATTTTACATTTCATTGTATAATTATTTTAGAGTGAAAGTGGACATAGCTGTGACTATACAAGTTAATTATATTTGCAGATTTTAATTTCTCAAGTCAAGTGCAGTTTAGTTTGTAATTCTTTATGTGGGGTAGCATTTGATGCTGAAAGAAAGGAAAAAGTTCCATGAGATCAAAGTACTGGGCTTGTCTCTGACCTACCAGCTTAAATATCGTTAAAGACACCTTAGTTCATGTCGCTATATCTTTCCCTATACCTGTCTCTCCTGACTTACACGGCTGATGTACTTTGGAACTGCATACTATTAAGAGATGACCCCAAGTTATGCTAATTCTTAACAAACAGAAGCTTTCCAGCTGGGAGTACATCACTCTATTTTTGCCTTTATGGTTGCTGACCTTCTTATTCATTCCTCTTACAGACAGCCAGAGTGCTTTTCCCTAAGTAAAAGGCCATTTTCAGCAATGTCACTATGGGAATGTTACATAATGGGGAGTTAATGGCATCAGAAGAATCTAGACAACTTATTAAAATTTTAGGACCCAGGGTCCAGCTCCAACCCTAGTGATGAAAATTTCTGAAGGTGGGGCTATGAAGTCCATTTTAATAGTTTGCCTAAGTGATTTTATGTGCATTAAGGAAATACAAAGTTGCATCTTCTTTGTTTCTGATTTTTATTGTGTTGTTGTCCTTAGGATCAGAGTGCAGCAGACGAACATGCCTGAAAACTGGTGCACAACAATCTAAACCACATCAACTTCACCGGGAACTTCTCCTAGTAGAGCAAATGACGTTCAAGCTTCACGTGCTGCTACTCCTATCAGACATAGCCTTTTTTCCTCGTTTGCTGTGAGTTCTGCTCTAATTCGTCAGTATCTATGCAATAGCAGTTGGTACCTGTTTCAAATGACACTTCTGGTACCCGTAATAATACTCATTTCTAGAGTCAAGAACTCATGTTTAGTAAACTTTAAAACTTTGGCTGCATTAATGAGCTGGAAGAACTGGGCTGACATTTTTCTTATATTCAAATAACTGATATATACATTTTTACCTTTAACATTTTTTACCAAAACTTTACAACCTGTTTCATGTTTCAAGAATAAAAGAAAATTTCTCAGCACTTCTTTTTTTTTTTTTTTTTTTTTTTTTTGTCTTTTTGAGACAGGGTCTCTCTATGCAGTTCAGGTTGTCCTTGAGCTCACTTTGTAGCCCAGGCTGGCCTCCAGCTCACAATGATCCTCCTGCCTCTGTCTCCCAAGTGCTGGGATTACAGGTGTGCGCCACCATGCCCGGCATCAGCACTTGTTTTGGAAAACGCTGCTTCCATTTCTGTAACTGTGTGACTGTGAAAGGAACCACTATATTCCTACGTGGTTTTTTGCCTTGCTAGCTGTGGGCACCTGACCCAAGCTTGGCTAAGTAGACTATCCTACTGTCCAATTCACACTGAACAATTTATGCATGGGCAGTGAAGGCCAGGGTGTTTCAACTAAGTTCCAGCCATTTGTTAGTGGCAGGTAGAGCCCTCAATTGTGAGGGCTTCCGGAGCTCGACGCCATGGAAAAGGGAAATCTTATACTGATGGTGACTAAGGCAGTTTCGATAGGACTGTTAATATGTATGAAGGAGACACGGGACACGGAACTGGCAGCATGTCCATTCTGTACAGCCTTCTGCTCTCTTTTAGGTTGAAACAGTACTTATTTTGGTTCAATCATTTAAAGTTGAGCTTCTCGGTCAGAATCAAGTGTTCTGAGTGATTTGACATCAGGCCCAGCAGTGGTGACCCATTGTCAGGTTCTACAGGTAGTGTGGTATCGGAAAGGGAACAGAACAAAAGGTGTATGAGACTTCTCTATGTTTATGCATTCTGCAACTGAGTAGAGGATGCGAATTCTAACAGCAGACAGAACACACATGCTGTGTAAGTAACCTAATCATAGAGGACATATTGTAAAAGTTCTGGTAAAATACTATGAAAGATGAAAAGAAGGGAAAATTATTGAGAAAATTTAGAAAAAAAATGAGAAAGTACTTTAACTGGCTTGTTGCTGGAATTGAAGTTCAAAGATACAGAGTTGATGTCTCAGCTCAAAGGGCATAGAAG